ACGAGACTCTCCTCTGGCACCACCGCCTTGGTCACCCCTCCCTGCCTCGTCTCCGAGGCATGGCCTCCCGTGTCCTTGTCACTGGTCTTCCCCGGTCTCTCCCACACCTTCCCCCGGGGCCTACCCCTACCTGCGTTCCTTGCGTTGAGGGGCGGCAGCGCGCCGCTCCTCACTCCTCCGAGTTCCCTCCGACGGAGGCTCCCCTGCAGATTCTTCACATGGACATGTGGGGCCCAGCCCGCGTCCGTGGACAGGGTCATGAGCGCTACTTTCTTTTTGTCGTTGACGACTACTCGTGTTACACCACAGTCTTCCCCTTGCGCCGCAAGGGTGAGGTTACTAAGGTGCTGATCGACTGGATCCGCGCTGCCCGTCATCAGCTCAGCGAGAGTTTTGACTCGGACCATCCTGTTCTACGTCTGCACTCCAATAGAGGTGGAGAGTTTTGCTCCGACCTTCTGCGAGCCTTCTGTCGTGCGGAGGGCATCCGCCAGACGTTCACGCTTCCGGCCTCTCCGCAGCAAAATGGGATTGCTGAGCGCCGCATTGGCATGGTCATGGACGTCGCTCGTACGTCCATAATCCATGCGGCTGCTCCCCATTTTCTGTGGCCGTTCGCGGTTCAGTACGCTGCGCATCAGCTCAACCTCCAGCCCCGGGTCTCCATGTTGGAGACCACACCTACTCTGCGGTGGGAAGGTTAGCAATGCGTCTGCCTTCCGTGCCTGGGGATCTCGAGCTTTTGTTCGCGACTTATCTGCGGACAAGCTGTCCTCCCGTGCTGTTCCCTGCGTCTTCCTTGGCTTCCCCCCTGACGCGCCTGGTTGGCAGTTTTACCACCCCACCTCGCGCCGTGTTCTGTCCCCTCAGGACGTCACGTTTGACGAGTCGGTTCCTTACTACCGTCTCTTCCCCTACCGCACTGCCCCCCTCCCCCCCCCCCCCCCCGCCGCTCTTCCTCGCGCTAGGTCCTCCTCCGGTAGACCCCCTCCCCCCTCAGGGTCGTGCCCCCTCAGGTGTGTCCCAGGTAGACGCAATCGAGCCTGTCAAGGTAGCTGTTGGCTCTGGTGCTGCTAGGGGTGCTAGGCCTGCGGGGACTGGGTCTGGGGGTGCTGAGCCTGAGCATGTGGAGCCTGGGGGTGCTGGATCTGGGGGTGCTGAGCCTGGGGGTGCTGAGCCTGGGGTTGCAGAGTCTGGGGGTGCCGGGCCTGAGGGTGCTGAGCCTGCGCGTGTGGAGTGTGGAGGTGCTGAGCCTGGAGGTCCTTTGGGTGTTTCGTCCCGGCAGGAGCTACTCTCTCCACAGTAGCTACGCAAGTGGTTTGCTCGGCGCTGGAGCCGTGCTGTTGGAGCTGGTGGTGCTACGGTCGCTTGAGGTCCTGCTGCTGCTGGAGCTGCTGGGGGTTCTGGAGCCACTGGTCCCGGATGTGCTCGTATTGGAGGTACTGGAGCTGCTGGGCCTGGTGGTGCTACTGGAGCTGGAGCTGGTGAAGGTGCTGGAGTTGGCGGTGCTGCTGGATGTTCTGGAGCTTGCTCTACTGGAGCTGCTAGGCCTTTTGGTGGTCCTGCTGGAGCTGGAGCTGCTGGAGGTGCTGGAGCTAGAGGTGATGCTGGAGCCGGTGCTTCTAGAGGTGCTACAGGAGTTGGCGCTACTGGAGCAGCTGGAGGTGCTGCTGGAGCTGGTGGTGCTACTGGAGTTGGAGCTGACGCTGGGGGTGCTGGTGCTGTCCCTGCTGGTTCTGAAGGCGCTGCGCGGCTGCGGCCGTACTTCGTTCCGATCCTTAAGCAGGTTCTTGATCTCCCGTCTTATACTAGTCCTGCTCTTTCCTTAGAGTGTCCACTGCTCGTCCAGTCGCAGTCACAGTTACAGCCCGCCCCCCCACTGCCTGCTCCTTCTTCTTACACTGGTCAGACCGGGGGTCTTACAAAGCGTCGTGAGCCTGAGTCTCGTCCTGCGTCGCCTGTTTGTGCTGCTCGCACTAGTTGTCGTGGTTCATGTCAGCGTCCTCCTCCTGTCCCTGGCACGCACCAGATGGCTCTGCGTCCTTCCACTTGCTCCGCAGCGTGTCCCTCTGCCGTCTCCTCCTGCATCCTCTCTTCCTGCCCTTGCTGACTCGGAGTCTGACTCCCTTTGTGCTGCTAGTCCTACTGTCGCGCGTCTCCTGGCCACTGTTGTCACTGACCCTTCCTTTGAGTCCACTGCTGCGTCTGCTCTTGGTGCTGAGCTTGTCGACTTTGCTGCTCGCTGTCGTCTAGACTGCGCCACTAGACTTGTTGCTGAGACTGAGTCTGCCTGTCCTCGGTCCGTCGGGGGTGAGTGTGCCCTTAGCACAGACGTCCTTGAGGACAGGCAGTAGGAGTTCCAGTGTTTTGCTGCTGCTTTACCTCATCTCGTGTCCATGCTGCTTGCCCCTGAGGGAGACCCGGATGCACCAGACATCCCGACCCCGCACTCTTACGCAGAGGCGATAGAGGGTCCCTACTCCTCTCAGTGGCAGACAGCCATGGACGCAGAGATGGCTTTCTAGAAGTGCACAGGCACCTACGTTGAGGAGGTTCACCCACCTAGGGCGAACATTGTCGATGGCATCATGATTTTCAGGGTGAAGCGGCAGCCGGGTTCTCCGCCTGTCTTCAAGGCGCCTTACGTGGCTCGAGGCTTCAGTCAGCGGCAGGGAGTTGACTACTTTCAGACCTTCTCTCCCACCCCGAAGATGACCAGTCTTCCGGTGCTGCTGCACGTCGCCGCTCAGCGTGACAACGAGCTTCACTCTCTTGACTTCAGCACTTCTTTCCTACATGGCAGCCTGCACGAGGAGATCTGGCTGCGCCGCCCACCTGGTACCCAGTGGAGGCTCCGGCAGCCAGTCTATGGTCTCCGCCTGGCGCCCCGTAAGTGGCACGACACACTGAGGACTACTCTTGCGGCCCTTGGGTTTGCTCCTTCCACTACTGACCCGTCGCTGTTTCTGCACACTAACACTTGGCTGCCGCCGTTCTACATCCTCGTGTACGTCGACGACTTGGACTTTGCCACTTCTGACACTGAGGGACTCGCCCACATGAAGTCGGAGCTGCAAAAGAGACACACGTGCACAGACCTGGGTGAGCTGCGCAGCTATCTTGGCTTGCAGATCACCCGGGATAGAGCATGGCGCACCATTACCTTGACTGAGTCACACATGGTGCAGCAGGTCCTTCAGCGCTTCAACTTCACATACTCCTCGCCTCAGGCCACTCCTCTGTCTACTCGCCACTCGCTCTCAGCTCTTCCTTCAGATGAGTCCGTAGAGCCGAGTGGCCCGTACCCAGAGCTTGTTGGTTGCCTCATGTACCTGATGACTTGCACTCGACCTGACCTTGCATACCCTCTTAGCATCTTGGCACGCTATGTTGCTCCTGGGAGACACCGACCAGAGCAGATGGATCCAACTAAGAGGGTGTTGCGCTACCTGTGCAGTACGTCGAGCATGGGGCTCGTGCTTGGAGGACGGGCTCGAGTTGTCCTCACTGGTTACGCAGACGCTTCTTGGGTTGACGACCAGGCTACATAGCGGTCGTCACAGGGTTACACCTTCAGCCTTGGTTCCGGCTCTGTTTCGTGGCGGTCTACCCGCTCGTCTTCTGTTCTCAGCTCAAGTTGTGAGGCTGAGATCTATGCTGGGGCCATGGCTGCACAGGAGTTACGCTAGCTCACCTACCTGCTGACTGACTTGGGAGAGGCACCTCGTTCTCCTCCAGTTCTGTACGTCGACAACAAGGCCATGCTGGCCTTGTGTCAGGAGCACAGACTAGAGCACAGAACGAAGCACATTGCTCTGTGCTGCTTCCTTGCTCAAGAGTTGCAGCAGCGTGGTCAGCTTCGTCTTGCTTACGTGGCCACTCGGGCCAACAATGCTGATATCTTTACCAAGGCACTTCAGCCTTGTGATTATCAGCGCTTTTGTTCTATATTAGGTCTTGTGCCTACCTGGCCTCACTTGCTTACCTCTTGACTTTGCTTGTACTATGATCTATATATACCTGCACCCACATGCTTACCCTTGCTAGGTTGAGATTATTGTCTTGCTTGTTGTTGATTTAGAATCCCGCATGTGAACTGGCCTTGTGGCCTTGTACTTGTGCTCAGAATGCGTGGTGACGTTGTGATCCACCCTGAGCTTGACCTTGCCTTGTTCTCTTGCTTGTCCTCCACTTTGCCTATGTGGTGTGTCAGAACTATATTGTAGCTTGCAGTGGGGCACTCCTTATGGGGTACAGTATTGTTAGCTTTTGCCTATACAAACCTTGTTCTGCCGTGTTTCTAGTCATTCTCGTTTCATACTCTGTGACAGGCCAGAAATTTCACCAATCCCAAGTACATTCACAGTAAAGGTGCCATTGTGGCCGAGTTCGTCTGCATATTCACTGTCGATCCTAGTGGCGTTTGGAGCTGCAACGTTGTAGAGACGGTGTCGCTCATTTATGCTTCCTAGCCAACCGGCACGTTGAATACGCTAATCGGGGCTGGGCTGTGTTGGGAACAAATAGTCTTAAGCGCCTCTGTCGTGTCGAAACTCAAGACACAAGCGAAGCAGCTCAAATCGAAGCACCGCGAGTCAACCCTCGGAGGTTAACGTAACCGCTGGAGGTTACGAGAAAGTCAAAGGTCAGCGACCTTTGACCTGACGCAGCGCGACAGCAAGGACACACAACTGACTCGACATTGTGCAGTTGCACGAGTCGCACTGTATCGAACCTCAACAGTAAAAAAGTTACAATTATGTCTCTTCATTTTCTCTGTACTCATATATATATTCCTGTATCTCTTTGCTTTAATTAACTTACTTTGCCCTCACATACTAGCGCAAGGTGGTTCAAGGACTTTATTCAAACGCTTCCGCTACTACATCATTTACTCAGACTTTAACTCTACTAAAGATCCTAGGGCGTTCAGCCCAACATGGTATGAGAGCTGGTTAGAGTTAAAAATCTCTCTTCAACACTTAATACATCAAGAAGACATGTCTGCTAGAAAGGAGAGGAGCTCCTCCAACGGCTCTCCCGGTACTACCCCTACTCCACCTCCTGCCTCTGGCCTACTGACAGAGGAAGGGACAACAACTAGACCAGCAGCTGGGTCTACGGAAACACCCGCAAACCAAGGCGCGGGCTTCGATCCAAGTATGATGGAGAAATTCTTCTCCTTCATGTCCTTCTACGAGCAGCATCAGCAAGGAGTACCTGCGCAATCAAACAACAGCAACAACAACAACAACGTGACGCCCATGAGTCTCGATGGCTCATCCTACGCACGCGGGAATCAACATCAACAACCTACCTTCGCTCCATACGAGCCCCAGCGCGGCTCCGTCAGCTTCATGCCGCAACCACAACCTGCACCGAGACAAGAAAGAGCACTGGACGCACTACAAGTTCAGTCGCAATTCGCGCATGTTCTAAAACTACAAACGACAAAACCTTTCGACGGGAAGGATTTCTTTACCTGGTCGTTCGAATTCGAGCTGATGATGGAAGGAGCGCAGATCCTTGGCTTCTTCGATGGGTCCCTGCCATATCCAACAAACGGCACGCAGTATGAGAAGCAGCAGTACACCTATCAATCGATGATGGCGTACACAATACTACTGAGGAACATCACCCCGACTCAACAGCAGAACATAAGGACTTACCGAGGTTACGGTAACTCCGCGGAGCTCGCGTACAACCACTTGAAGAACCTGTATCAAGCAACAGACAGCGTAAACCAAAGCCGGTTAATGGCGCAGCTGACAACAATCGAAATGAAACCAGGCGAGAAGGGCATGGCATATATCAGTCGCTGCCGCGAACTGCGCAACAAGCTTCTTCGATGTGGAGGATCGATTTCAGAAGACGCCTTTGTCACGGTTGTCATCGGTGGTCTTGGCCCTCACTAGCGCTCCACTCGCGCCATATTACGGGCACACGGGAGAATCTCCGAAGCAGCACTCTCCGCCGAAATCCATGCTGAACAGCAGGACATGGACCTGCAAGAAGAACGACATAAGAAGAAAACGTCAGTACCAGAGTTCGCGTTTCACACCCAGCGACGCTACAACAACAACAATCGGCAGCAACAACAATTGAAGCCAGTACCTCCGTTTTGCCATATCTGCAAGACTTCAGGGCATCCTCGTACGCACTGCCCGTATCGCCAGCAATCGACAACACCACAGCGACAACTTCGGCCTTCAAGCTCCCAAGTCACTTCAACGCAAGCAACTCCCACGACAAAGATTCAAACCTCAACGACTCCAACAGGACAACCTGCACAAGGAGCAAGAAACATCGTCAATTGCATGGCAAAGACAACAGATTCCTGCATCACCGAATCACCGCCGCACTACTCACCAGAAGAACGACTTGACGAAACCACACCTCGCCGCGAGTCACTTCAGCCGAACCCGACATACGCCGCCATCGCTCAAAGCGAGCCATCCGGAAGAGACACTTGGTTCTTGGATAGTTGCTGCGGACAACACATGTGCTCCTCAGGACGTTTCGTTCAACGCGAGCACCGACTTCAACGAGAAGTCGTCATCACCGTCGCCAATAATCAGAACCTGCGAACAAGACGACAAGGCATAGTACAGCTTCAGTCACGGGAGACGAACGTCGTACTACAAATGTCGAAAGTCTTAATAGCAGAGGGACTCGGCTACAACTTACTGAGCGTCAGTCAGCTGATGGCGAAAGGCATACACCTGGAAGCCGACAGCACCACCCAGGAGTTCAAACTGTACCACGGGAAGGGCGGCCTCTACATCGGAAAGGCGGTTCTGAAGAATAACGTCTTTGTCCTTGACTTCGTCCCAGACCTGGGCACCGCAGACAGCGACGCCATCGTGAACTTCGCCGACTGGACGCACCCTCCAGATCTTGATCCAGACTTCAGCCTGGAAGGCTTCTGGTACTCGCATACCATCCCTGAAGCAGAACGAACACGCGCGTTAGCAACAATTCAACATCCGGCAGTAGCAGAAACAACATCGGCAGTAGCAGAAACATCATCAGCAGCAGCAGAGACAACATCGGCAGCAGCAGAAACATCATCGGCAGTAGCAGAACCATCGTCAGCGACACCAGTTCTCGTTGACGAAGCACCACCAACACTCGCACAGCAGCTGAACCCAACTCAACGAGAAGTCCACAGAAGCGCAAACTTCGTCGCCAGCTTCTACTCCAACTCCGATGCGTATCGACGCTCACCCGGACACCGCGCCTCCGAAGACATCTGGCACGCACGCATGGGACATCCAAGCAACACCGTGTTAAATAATACAATAAGAGCAGGAGTCCTAGACAAGGATTCATTACTACTACCCGACGGCAGAGAACTTCAACGGGCACGAGGAACTTGCCTCACCTGCCCCGAAGCTGACTTACCACATCGACCGTTTACTCCTCACCACAACCCGAGCGCACCCGCGTACGCACCACTCGAGAAGGTGTACAGCGATATTCTCTTCAATCGAGAACCAGGACAAGTTACTTACAACTACACGATAACCTTCATCGACGCCGCCACTCGATACGTCTGGCACATAAACCTACCCAGCCGCGACATGGCACTCGCAGCGTTTGCCGCCTGGCTACCAGTAGCAGAGAGAGAGTCGGGAGCACAGCTGAAAAGCTTCCAGTCAGACGGAGGAGGAGAATACACCTCTCAGCGCTTCAAGCAGTACCTGGCGGAAAGAGGAATCAAGCAGCTCCTCTCCCTTCCCTACGCCCATCAGCAGCAAGGTGTCGCAGAAAGAATGAACAGGACTCTGCAGAACAGCATGCGCAAACTGCTTGGTGGCATGCGGCTACCCAACCACCAGTGGCCTGCAGCAATGGACCACGCTGTCATGCTGCACAACTTGATGTCGTCGTCCTCACTTCCGAACAACGCATCACCGCATCTGCTGTGGACAAGGAAACAGGGCAGCACAAAAATGTTACAAGTTTTCGAGTGTATGGTACAGTACCGACCCCCAGAAGCACGAGCGGGAAGATTTTCACAACGCGCACAATGGGGACTACACCTCGGCATCGAAAAGAATTACAACGCGTGGAAAATCTTCGACGTCCACTCCAAGGAAACAGTAGCAGCACGTGACGTGATCTTCTACGAACGACTCACGCTTCAGACGTACCTCGCCAACTTGCACGAAAATCAGGACCCCACAGGTGGCTTTCGTGGTGACCGAGCCTTCGCCTCAGCAGCGGACGAAGCAGACTGGGACGAGCAGAACGTCGACAACGCATCAGAAGAAGCCGGACCTCTACCATTCTGCTCCGTCAACGTCCCCATGGACGAAGAAAATCCTCGCGAAAGCGCCAACGCCGAAGTCTTCTACCACTTCGCCGACAACGGTTACGTAACACCTGCGACAGTCAACACCAACGAAGCAGAACGGATAGGGCCGAATTTCATACCTGACCCAGAAGCGGGAGATGAAGCAGCTTATCCCGAGGACACAACTCTCCCCCGCTACTCACAGACTGGACTGCAGATTCTCGGCCTCGTCACCGCAGTCCACGGCAATACTCTTCCTAAAGAGCCTGCGACAGTTCAGCAGGCTCTTGGGGGGAAACACACGGAGAAATGGCGTGAAGCCATGGACAGAGAGTTAAAGGCGCTGGAGGAACGCAACACCTGGAAAGTCGTTCCCGTAAGCGTGGCAAGGAACAAGACCATCCTCACCGGGAAATGGGTCTTGCGCATTAAAAGAAAGGCAGACGGTACAATCGAGAAATTCAAAGCACGCTGGGTCGTGCGTGGATTCGACCAGGAGCACGGACGGGACTTCACCGAGACATTCGCCCCGGAGAGCCGACATACCTCACTCCGAATTCTTCTCGCGATCGCCGCTATGAAGAAGAAGAAACTGCGACAAATCGATGTCGCCAACGCGTTCCTCTACGCACCCGTCGACGCCGAAATCTTCGTCGAGCTCCCACACGGTACCCACGGGGAACCTAACCAAGTTTGCCAGCTACTGAAATCGCTCTACGGTATCAAACAAGCCCCGCGGCTGTGGCAACAGCACCTACACGCTCGCCTCACTCGCATCGGATTCCGCCAACTACCTCACGACCAAGGAATGTATCGACTCACAAAAAACGCCGACTATATCCTGCTGATCGTCTACGTCGACGACCTACTCTACATTGGCTCCACCGACGACGTCACCACCTGGTTCGAAGGGGAGCTGCAGAGGGATCTTACACTCACGGTCTCCTCTACCGTCACTCAGTACCTCGGACTCAACATCCGCGAAGAAGAGAACGCGATCTATCTCAGCGCCGAAAAGTATGCCGACACTATCGCCAAACGCTTCTCGCTCACACCTACCACTATCTCCACGCCATACCGCTAAACGGCAGGGAACGACAAAGGAGGTCCCGCTCTACTCAAAACCGCCGGAATACGCGACTACCAGAGGAAGCTGGGCTGCCTTCTCTTCGCAGCCGTCACCTGCCGCCCAGATCTGTCCTACTCCGCAAGTCAACTTGCTACCTATCTCAAAAGGCCCGAAACAGAACACCTGGCGGAACTCGACCGCGCTCTCCACTACTTCGTGAGCACCTCGTGTCAGAACTTATAGCTTACTTGTTTCTGTAGGCTATAGTGGGGTATCCCATAGGGGGTACAACCCAATTAGGGTTTCCTATTTGTACTCACTTCGTTCATAGTCATTTCCACTCCTCGTTCGTACTTTCTCATGGAATCAGAGCAGGTCCCTTCCTAGGGCCTGTTCCTAGGGCCCACCGAAGCGCGCCCCGAGGCGCGCAATTTTTTTTAGCGACCCTCCGAGTCGCCCCTCCCGTCGTGCTCCCTGCTTAGGCCCCTCGTCGGCCCCGCGTACCCCTCGTCGGCCCCGCGTAGGCCCCACGTACCCCTCGTCGGCCCCGCGTAGGCCCCGCGTACCCCTCGTCGGCCCCACGTAGGCCCCGCGTAGGCCCCGCGTACCCCTCGTCGGCCCCGCGTAGGCCCCGCGTACCCCTCGTCGACCCCGCGTACCCCTCGTCGGCCCCGCGTAGGCCCCGCCCAGGCCCCGTCTCGGCCCCGTGTCGGCCCCGCGTAGGCTCCGTCGGCCCCGCTTAGGCCCCTCTTCGGCCCCGCGCCGGCCCCACCTACGCCCTGTCGGCCCCGCGCTGGCCCCGCTTAGGCCCGCCACCGGCCCCTGCTACAGCCCGCCACCGGCCCTGCTACAGCCGCCACCGGCCCCTACTACAGCCCGCCGCCGGCCCTGCTACAGCCCGCCACCGGCCCTGCTACAGCCGCCACCGGCCCCTGCTACAGCCCGCCACCGGCCCTGCTACAGCCGCCACCGGCCCCTGCTACAGCCCGCCGCCGGCCCTGCTACAGCCCGCCGCCGGCCCTGCTACAACCCGCCACCGGCCCTGCTACAGCCCACCACCGGCCCTGCTGCAGCCCGCCGTGCTGCACGTGAGCAGCCCCAGCAGCCCGCGCCGCCCGTGAGCCCCTACGCCACCCGAGCCGCGCGAGACGCCCGAGCCGCCCGAGCCGCCCGAGCCGCCCGAGCCGCCCGAGCCGCCCGAGCCGCCTGAGCCACGCGAGCCACCTGAGGAGCCGTGCTGCTGTCCCTGAGCTGTGTTCCTCTGCTGCTGACCTACCCGACTCTTCCAGCCCGGTGAGACTTTCAGCTGCTGCCATGGCCACCCCCAATGTTCTTACTTTTGACGCTGAGGGGAGGGCCATTGACTTTCCCGTCTGGATTGAACACCTGCAGCTGTACTTACTGTGTGATGCGATAGATGAGGTCTCTCTCTTTGACTTTGTCTCTGGAGCTGTCCCTGCCCCGCCTGCTGATGCTGACTCTGCCGTTCGCTCCAAGTGGGCGACCCGCGATGCTGCTGCACGTCTTGCTGTGCGTCGCCACCTCCCTTCCTCTGAGCGTGCCCACTTTAGTCAGTGCAAGACCGCTCAGGCCTTGTACAACGCTGTAGTTGCACGTTACTCCTCCCCTTCCTCCGCTACCCTTAGCCGCCTCATGCTACCGTTTCTCTTCCCTGACCTCGCTTCCTTTCCCACTGTCGCTGACCTCGTTACCCACCTCCGCGCTAGTGACGCTCGCTACCGCGCTGCCCTTCCTGCTGAGTTCCGCGCCGCAAACCCTCCTCCCATGTATATCACTCTCTACTTTCTCGTCACCCGTCTTCCTGAGTCCCTTCGTGTCGTTAGGGACCAGTTTCTCTCTGTCTGTCCCACCACCCTCACTGTCGACCTCCTTGAGGAGTCCCTGCTAGCGGCTGAGAAGAGTATAGTCGCTGTAGGGGCCTCTAGGGGTGACCCTCGCACCCCCATCTTTGAGGGGTGTTCTCCTTCCCCCCTGCTGCCCTCTGTCGCCTCTGCTGCTACGGCCGACCTCGCTGGTTTTGAGTCGGTCGGTGCGGCGTCTGCCCCCAGCGGCAGACGCCGCTCTGGCAAGGGCAAGGGGGGCAAGGGAGCGGGTGGATCTAGAGGAGGCAGTGGCGGAGGAGGTGGGGGTGGCGGGGGGAGTGGGGGTGGCGGTGGAGGTGGTGGCGGGAGTGGAGGTACTAGTGGCGGCGGTGGAGGCGGAGGTGGCGGCGGAGGTGGTAGCGGAGGAGGCGGTGGGAGCGGTGGGAGCGACGGTCCTGGTGGGGGAGGTGGCGGTGGAGACGGGGGTGGCGGTGGAGGCGGGGGTGGTGGTGGAGGCGGGGGTCGGAGTGGCTCGTCCCAGCGGAGCAGGTCTGGGGGTGGTCAGCGCCAGCAGCAGCAGCAGCAGCAGCAGCAGCAGCAGCAGCCGCAGCAGCAGCAGCGCTCTCGCACCGTCCCCGGCCCTCAGCAGCTCCGTGAGTGGTACTTGCAGCGTCAGCGCGGTGGTGCTCTTGGTCCCTGCCCCTACGTTCTTCGCACCGGTGACCGTGCGGGGGAGAGGTGTGGAGGCGCCCACACAGCCCGTCGCTGCTTTGGCCGCCTGACCGACGCCTGGCGTCAGCAGTTTCCGGAGGCCGCTGAGATCCCCCGCTGGGGAGAGCTGTCTAGGGCTGGAGTAGCTATTTATGATCTTGACTTTGATGCTATTCTCTCTGCTATGTATGCTGTGACTGGTAGTGATGAGGATGACTGTTACCGGTGTTTCCCGCCCGACCCGGGCATTGGTACTGCCGCGTCAGGTACTAGTGAGGCTGCTGCTCTAGGTGCCAGTGCGTCTGTGCTCTCAGGTGCTGGTGAGTCTGCCCTCTCAGGTACTGTGTCGGCTTCGGCCTCTCACACCTTCACCCTTGACTCTGGAGCGTCTCGCTCCTTCTTTAGGGACCGCACCACTCTCACGCCGCTGAGTCGGCCGGTTGCAGTGTCCCTGGCTGACCCCTCTGGGGGGCCGGTCCTGGCTCGCTTCTCCACTGTCCTCCCGTGTCCGGCGGCCCCCTCTGGCACCCTGACTGGTCTCTACCTCCCCTCGTTCTCGACGAACTTGGTGAGTGGTGCTGACCTCCAGGATGCGGGTGTCCACCAGTTCACCCCTGCTCGTCAGCGGGTGACCCACTGCACGGAGGAGGATACAGGTCGCCACCTGGCTACGTTTACACGTCGGCCAGGGTCGAGCCTGTACACACTGACCACTGCTTCTCCTCCAGGTGCTGAGTCTGGTAGGGTCCCTTCGTCTGGTCAGGTGTTTGCTGCAGCGTCCAGGTCTGGTCCTGAGTCTGCCCCCTGCTCGTGTCGTCGTCTGTCTCACGAGACCCTCCTCTGGCACCACCGCCTTGGCCACCCCTCCCTGCTTCGGCTCAGAGGCATGGCCTCGCGAGTCCTTGTGTCTGGTCTTCCCCGGTCTCTCCCTCCCCTTCCTCCGGGCCCTGGCCCCACCTGTGTCCCCTGTGTCGAGGGGCGCCAGCGTGCTGCCCCTCACTCCTCCCAGTTTCCTCCCACAGAGGCCCCGTTGCAGACGCTTCACATGGACGTGTGGGGCCCAGCCCGCGTCCGTGGACAGGGTCAGGAGCGCTACTTCCTACTGGTGGTTGACGACTACTCGCGCTACACCACAGTCTTCCCCTTGCGCAGCAAGGGTGAGGTCACTGAGGTGCTGATCGACTGGATCCGCGCAGCTTGTCTCCAGCTTCGGAGGAGCTTTGGCTCTGACTTCCCTGTTTTGCGTCTGCACTCGGACAGAGGTGGAGAGTTCTCCTCCGGCCTCCTGAGTGCCTACTGTCGTGTGCGAGGCATCCGTCCGACCTTCACGCTTCCGGACTCACCGCAGCAAAATGGGATTGCTGAGCGCCGCATTGGCATGGTCATGGACGTCGCTCGTACGTCCATAATGCATGCGGCTGCTCCCCATTTTCTGTGGCCGTTTGCGGTCAGGTACGCTGCGCACCAGATCAACCTCCACCCCAGGGTCTCTCGACCGGAGACCTCCCCAGCCCTGCTGTGGACGGGGAAGGTTGGCGATGCGTCGGCGTTCCGGGTCTGGGGATCTCGGGCGTTTGTTCGCGACCTGTCTGCGGACAAGCTGTCCCCTCGTGCTTCTCCCTGCGTCTTCCTGGGGTTCCCCCCCGACGCCCCTGGGTGGCAGTTTTACCACCCCACCTCTCGACGTGTTCTGTCCTCCCAGGACGTCACGTTCGACGAGTCGGTGCCCTACTACCGCCTCTTCCCCTACCGCACTCCGTCCCTCCCCCCACCCCCGCTCTTCTTGGTACCAGGTCCCCCCCCGGTAGTCCCCCTCCCCCCTCAGGGTCCTGCCCCTTCAGGTGTGTCCCAGGTAGACGCGGTCGAGCCTGTCGAGGTCACTGGTGACTCTGGTGCTGCTGCGGGAGCTGAGCCTGGGGGTGCGGAGTCTGGGGGTGCTGAGCCTGGAGGTGCCGAGTCTGGGGGTGCTGAGCCTGGGGGTGCTGAGCCTGGGGGTGCTGTGCCTGGGGGTGCCGTGCCTGGAGGTGCTGTGTCTAGGGGTGCTGAGCCCGGGGGTGCTGTGCCTGGGGGTGCTTCGTCTCGCCGGGAGCCACTCTCCCCACAGGAGCTGCGTGAGTGGTTTGCCGGGCGCTGGAGGCGTGCTGCTGGTGCTGGTGGTTCTTCGGCTGCAGAGGGCACTGCTGCTGCGCGCCCCGCCGGTGCTCGTACTGTGGGTGCTGGAGCTGCTGAGTCTGAGAGTTCTCCTGGAGCTGGTCCTGCTGAGGGTGTTGGCGCTGAGCCTGCCGTTGGCGGCCCGACTGACAGTGCTCCTGGTGCTGCGGCTGGAGGTTCTGGAGCTTCTGGTGGTGCTGCTGGAGGTGCTGCTGGAGTGGGTGCTCCTGCCGGGGCTGCTGGTGCTGTTCCTGCTGTTTCTAGCGTCGCCGCGCGGCCCCGACCGTACTTCGTTCCGCTCCTGCAGCAGGTTCTTGGTCTTACACCTCCTCCTCCTCCCTTAGAGGGTCCGCAGCCTGTCCGGTCACAGCCACAATTACAGCCTGCCTCCCCTTTGCCTGCTCCTTCTCCCTACGCTGGTCCGACTGGAGGTCTTACTGAGCGTCGTGAGCCTGCGTCTCGTCCTGTGTCGCCTGTTCGTACTGAGCGCGCTAGTGGTCGCGGGTCGCGTCAGCGTCCTCCTCCTGTCCCTGGCACGCACCGGATGTCACTGCGTCCGTCCACTGCTCCTCTGCGTGCCCCTTTGCCTTCTCCTCCTGCTTCCTCTCTTCCTGCTCTTGCCGACCCGGAGTCGGACGCTCTTCGTGCTGCCAGTCCTACTGTCACGCGTCTCCTGGCTACTGCTGTCACTGACCCCTCCTTCGAGTCGTCTGCTGCGTCTACCCTTGTCACTGAGCTTGTCGACTTTGCTGCGCGCTGTCGTCTAGACTACGCTGCTCGTCTTGTCACTGAGTCTGAGTCCGCCTGTCCTCCGTCCGTCGGGGGTGAGTGTGCCCTTGGCACGGACGTCCTTGAGGACAGGCAGGAGGAGTTCCAGTGTCTGGCCGCCGCTTCACCTCGTCTCGCGTCTGTACTGCTAGCCCCTGAGGGAGACCCGGATGCACCAGACATCCCGACTCCGCGCTCTTACGCGGAGGCGATAGAGGGTCCCTACTCCTCTCAGTGGCAGGCAGCTATGGATGCAGAGATGGCTTCCTGGAAGTCCACAGGCACCTATGTTGACGCTGTTCCCCCTCCTGGGGCAAACATCGTCAGTGGCATGTGGATTTTCAGGGTGAAGCGGCCGCCGGGTTCTCCGCCTGTCTTCAAGGCGCGTTACGTGGCTCGTGGCTTCAGTCAGCGGCAGGGGGTTGACTACTTTCAGACCTTCTCCCCCACCCCGAAGATGACCACTCTTCGGGTTCTGCTACACGTTGCTGCTCACCGTGACTACGAGCTGCACTCTCTCGACTTCAGCACAGCTTTCTTGCAGGGCAGCCTGCACGAGGAGATCTGGCTGCGTCGCCCACCTGGCTTCACTGGGTCTTTCCCTCCTGGTACCCAGTGGAGTCTCCGGCGTCCAGTCTACGGTCTCCGCCAGGCGCCACGTGAGTGGCACGACACACTGAGGACTACGCTCGCGGCACTTGGGTTTGCTCCTTCCACTGCCGACCCGTCGCTGTTTCTGCGCACCGACACCTCTCTGCCGCCGTTCTACATCCTCGTGTACGTCGACGACTTGGTCTTTGCCACAGCTGACACTGCTGGACTCGCCTACGTGAAGTCCGAGCTGCAGAAGAGACACACGTGCACTGACCTGGGTGAACTGCGCAGCTACCTTGGCTTGCAGATCACCCGGGACAGAGCACGCCGCACCATTACCCTGACTCAGTCACACATGGTGCAGCAGGTCCTTCAGCGCTTCGGCTTCACGTACTCCTCGCCTCAGGCCACTCCTCTGCCTACTCGCCACTCGCTCTCAGCTCTGCCTTCGGATGAGTCCGTAGAGTCGAGTGGCCCGTTTGCAGAGCTTGTTGGCTGCCTCATGTACCTGATGACCTGCACACGACCTGACCTCGCATACCCTCTTAGCATTCTCGCACGCTTTGTTGCTCCTGGGAGACACCGACCAGAGCACATGGCTGCAGCGAAGAGGGTGTTGCGCTACTTGTGCAGTACGTCGGGCATGGGGCTAGTGCTTGGAGGGCGCAGTCCAGTGGTCCTCACTGGGCACGCAGACGCTTCTTGGGCTGACGACCAGGCTACGCAGCGGTCGTCACAGGGTTACACCTTCAGCCTTGGTTCCGGCTCTGTCTCGTGGCGGGCTACCCGCTCGTCTTCTGTTCTCGGCTCCAGTTGTGAGGCTGAGATCTACGCTGGGGCTATGGCTGCACAGGAGTTACGCTGGCTCACCTACCTGCTGACCGACCTTTGAGAGCAGCCTCGTTCTCCTCCAGTCCTGTACGTAGACAACAAGGCCATGCTGGCCTTGTGTCGAGAGCAGCGACTGGAGCACAGAACGAAGCACATTGCTCTTCGCTACTTTCTTGCTCGTGAGCTACAGCAGCGTGGACAGCTGCGACTTCCGTACGTGGCCTCTGAGGCCAACACTGCTGATGTCTTCACCAAGGCACTTGCGCCTTGTGATCATCAGCGTTGCTGCACGCAGTTGGGTCTTGTGCCTGTCTTGCCTCACTTGCTCTCCTCTTGACCTTGCTTGTACTTTCGCATATATATACTCTTGCTCTTGTATATCTCTATATATGATCTTGCATGTGAACTGGCCTTGTGGCCTTTGAACTTGTGCTCGGAATGCGTGGTGACTTTGTGATCCACCCTGAGCTTTGCTTTGCTTTGCTTGACCGGTCTTGTGACCCCTTGTTCTCCCCCACTTTGCCTATGGGGGTGTGTCAGAACTTATAGCTTACTTGTTTCTGTAGGCTATAGTGGGGTATCCCATAGGGGGTACAACCCAATTAGGGTTTCCTATTTGTACTCACTTCGTTCATAGTCATTTCCACTCCTCGTTCGTACTTTCTCACCTCGACGATCGGCCTGACATACTACAAGAGTAAAACTACACCGACGAAACTAATCGGCTACGTCGATGCCGATCACGCCGGCGATTCAGACAACAGACGCTCCCGCACTGGCTACATCTACCGCCTCGAACCTATCGGACCTATCTCCTGGCAATCGAGCAAGCAGGAACTAATCGCTCTCTCCTCAGCTGAAGCAGAATATATCGCACTCTGCTCAGCCACCAAGGAAGGACTCTATCTTCGCGAGCTGCTGGAAGAAGCGAAGTTAGCCGAGTTACCCAACTTCACTCTGTTCTGCGACAACCAATCTGCGATTCGCATCGCCAACAAGAGCGGATTCGCGAACAGAATGAAGCATATCGCCCTGCGATATTTCTTCGTGAAAGACAAGATCGAGAAAGGGAAACTCAAACTGTCCTACTGTCCCACGTCTGAGATGGCAGCTGACTACTTGACCAAGAAGCTCGGAAAACAGAAGTTCGAGTACTGCATGCTGCTGACTGGACAAAGCCACGTCACCATCAGCGACACTCCAGAAGCGAAGGGGAGTGTTGGGAACAAATAGTCTTAAGCGCCTCTGTCATGTCGAAACTCAAGACACAAGCGAAGTAGCTCAAATCGAAGCACCGCGAGTCAACCCTCGGAGGTTAACGTAACCGCTGGAGGTTACGAGAAAGTCAAAGGTCAGCGACCTTTGACCTGACGCAGCGCGACAGCAAGGACACACAACTGACTCGACATTGAGCAGTTGCCCGAGTCGCACTGTATCGAACCGCAACAGTAAAAAAGTTACAATTACCATGTCTCTTCATATTCTCTGTACTCATACCGTATATATATTCCTGTATCTCTTTGCTTTAATTAACTTACTTTGCCCTCACATACCAGCGCAAGGTGGTTCAAGGACTTTATTCAAACGCTTCCGCTACTACATCATTTACTCAGACTTTAACTCTACTAAAGATCCTAGGGCGTTCAGCCCAACAGGCTGTTCAATACTCCTTCGGCCTTTACGCTTTCGCTTCAAGTTCTCACCACCATCATGAAGGGGTCGGTCTCATCCACTGTCACCGGCTACTGAGTAGCATACGTCTTTGAGAAATTCTCAGTGGTTTCTTCGTGAGTTAGTGTGTATTCACCAGTCGTCTGCCCTTCATACGGGTAGCAGCGGATTCAAGGATTCAAGATTATTTCTGATGCGTGATTCAAGAACCTTTTCCACCTAAGCACATGAATTATGAAGCAAAAACAGCAACCAGGTCAGTTTGCAGCCCTCCAGTTTGGAGCCCTAGTACGGTAGTATGCGCTCTTGTGTTGGTGCCCTCCCATCACCACTCCACCCACTGCAGCTGCCCTCTTTGTGCATCTCATGCACTGGGTTGATCACACAACACAACACAACACGGCACAGCCCTACACTGCACTTGCATCCCACCAGAAGAACCGCCGTGCACATCACACCAACAAGCTCGCCCGAGGCCCCACCGTTCATATAAGGACAGGAGCGCGAGGCGATGCAGCATGGCCGTCCATGGGCAGGACACAGTAGATTGGCTCATGCAGAACAAAAGAAATGGCACTACAGAAGAACAGCACTTCAGAAGAACAGCGCTACAGAAGAAGGGCATGAACGTGCACAGTGCGCGTACAAGCGTCGCACCAAGGAAGCAACAAATGTAGCAGAAGCGTATGGCAGCGATGGCGATCAGGAGGGGGGCCGTTGCAGGTTGAGCATGGCAGCGCGCGCCTCGGCAAACATCTTCTGCTGCTCCGCTATCGCCTCCTCCTCACTCATCCCCACCGCCCCCGATGCCTTGCTGCTGCTCGACCGCCCCAGCGCCCGCGGTGACTCCTGCAGGGGGAGGGAGGAAGGAGGAGGGTGGAGGAGGGGAGGGTGGAGGGGAGCATGCAAGGCAGAGAGTCAGAGGTCCCTTGCCGCTGCTCGACTGCCCCAGCGTGCATGGTGACTCCTGCAAGGGAGGGGCAGGGAGGGAGTTGGTGGGGGTGGGGGTGTGAGAGGGGAGCATGCAGGGCAGATTGTCAGAGACATGTATGTCCCACGAATGGCTTGCTGCTGCTCCACCACCCCAGCGCGCGCAGTGACCCCTGCAGGGAGAGAGAGCGGGGGAGTGCAAGGGGAGTGGGAGAGATGGTGGTCCAGGATTCATTGGTGACATGGCACTGTGACAGTCAAGCATGTGGCTTGGTGGATGCGTCCACCAGGTGGGCACACGCAGACGAGTCACTCCAGAGCAGAATGCAGTCCACGTGAGTGGCGCAGCCATGAGGGCTGACCAACAGGCTGTGCTGTGCACCCCTTGAGTGCTGCAGCAGCCTCAAGGTCCACGAGCCTCAAGGTCCACGAGCGTCAGCAGAACCAGAAGAGGCCGTGCAGGCAATGGAGGAAGTGGAGGCGATGGGGTGAATCGTGGGTTGCACCATGGAACACGGCAGAGAGGAGGGGAGTGTGTGGAGGGGCGTGAGGGCGTGCGTGGGTCACCAGTGTTTCAGACTTGTGCTGGTCGTATGCTGCCTGCACCTCCGCCAGATAGCTGCTGAAGCCCAGCGACTGCATGCACGCGCAAGCGAAGGGGAGACAGGCAACACGAGAGGGGTAGAGTGTCAAAAGAGTGGGAAAGACGCAGCAGGAGAGGAAAAGAGGCAGCAAAGTGTCCGAGAGATTCAATTGGCAAGGCCAGGGCATGGGCAGGGAAGGTATGGACTGGCTTACTTCTACCACTCACCACCATCGCCCTCTATCTCAACCCTACCACCCTCTATCTCACCCCCACCGTCCTCTCTCTCAACCCCACCGCCCTATCTCTCACCCCCACCGCCTTCTATGTCACCTCACCGTCCTCTCTCTCACCCCACACCCCTCCATCTCACCCCACCGCCCCCTCTCACCTCGAGCGCCTGCAGCACGTGCTCGGGGGCGATGGTGCGCTTGTCCTCCTTGCTGCACATCTCATTCGCCTCCGATGAGATCAGATTGATGAACTCTGCAGGGGGAGGCGCGAAGCACGGTGTGGCAGTGCCGGCACGCCCAGGCGAACACGCAGCATGTGGCATTAGAGGGCACAAAACCTTTCTGCGCGCACTGGATGATCCTTCAAGCAGGATGGGCTTGGGGAGGAGAAGTCCATCAAGCAGGAGAGTGAACGAGTGGGAAGTGAGAAAACTTGACACACTGCGTTCATACAAGCACTCTCGACCCACCCGGGCTGGCAGCGAGGAAACACGAGTCCACGAGGCATGAGTCCATGAGACATGAGTCCATGAGGCATGAGTCCATGAGACATGAGTCCATGAGGCATGAGTCCATGAGACATGAGTCCATGAGACATGAGTCCATGAGGCATGAGACCATGAACCCACCGAGGCAATCCACCGAGGCAACCCATCGAGGCAACCCACCGAGGCAACCCATCGAGGCAAGCCACCCGAGGCAACCCAACGAGGCAACCCACCGAGGCAACCCACCGAGGCAACCCACCGAGGCAGCAGTCCATGAGGAGGTCTTGCGTGTCCTTGGAAACTCGCACGTCGCGTGGCAGCATCTCCTTTATTAGCCTACTCATTGTCGCTGACAAACACCCGTGAGGATAAAACAAAAAGTGGGAAAGGGAGAGGAGAGGGTGACGCCGGAGATGAAATAAAACGATGGCGGTGCTGGGAGTAGGAAGGGAGCGGAGCAGGCACTGGGGGCTGCACCCGACTAGAGTCCTTGCAGGGAGAGCAGAGAGGCCAAGGGTGGAGATTGGAGCGCCAGAGCGCGGCAAAGAACAGCGGGATTTGAGGCATCCGGGGCAGCGCTGGGCTTGAAGGCGCTCGGAGGTACCTTTGGGCAGAGACACATCTTCAGGCCGCTTCGCTCCCGCCTCCATCGCCCCTTTCGCTGCCCCCCGTGTGCCCACGCTGCTCTTGCTGCCCCCTCTCCCCTCGCACCAGGGGTTCACTGATAGTGACACCGCGTGTTCCGAGCGAGCAAGGACGATTGCTGCGCTGCGGGCGCCGAGCGCCTTGGCGGTGCTGCTATGAGTGTCACTCGACGACGCGCTGCTGCTCCCTTCGCCTGCTCGTGTTGCTCAGGGTGAAAGCTAAGTTGCTATGGCGAATCTGACGAAGCTACAGGGAATCTGACGAAGCTTTACGGAGAGCGTGCAACGGTAAGCGAAAGCGCGCGTTGATGGGTGAGCAGCATGCGTCGCTAAAGGTTTTCGAAATATGACATCCAGGGTCGTACAAGGAGAGTCACTATAACTAATTAGACGCGATGGTAAGCAAAGAGGGAGACTAGAATTGCAGAGATTGTGCGGTACGAATGGGCGACAGAGCTACGAGCGCCAGGCGGGACGAGGAAACCACGCAAGTTTTTTAAGGCAGACCCAGTACGCGTTCCGTGATTGCTAATATTACCTCCTCTTGGATCACAAGCGCTGAACCGACCTCCAAACCTATTTTCGTTGGCGAGGGAGCTCGTCGCGGCTCGAGGACCACTTTTCCAGCCCGTCAACCCTGCCGAATCAATCTGAAAGCTACCGAACCGCGTCTAAGTCTGTTGTACGTAGGAGGGATTGTGTGGAGCGAGGGACCCGACCCTTCGCGACGTCTTCTCGGCCTTCGAGCGTCACGACGGTCGTGCGGGTCGTCTGCTGTCGTTTGTAAAAGTGTTGTTACACCTTTCCAGTAGATTGCAATATCAACGAAGTGCTCACGAAACACTACCTCGGGGTGTGTTAATTTGCTTGGCAGAATGCGCACCCAGTCGAGAAGCATCGCAAAGGCCCGGCGCGGAAGTCCACACGCTTTTCAATACACGGTTGAGTGCGTTTTAGCTGAATATTGAACGGTTGAATTGCCCCACCCATTCAAATAAGCACCAACTTGAGTGAACATTGATACATCCATATTAGCACCTTGAGTTGCCCCCTGAGATCTACCAAAAATTAGCAATACTCTGAAAACGTCAAGCCTACACGGTATTATTGTAAACAAGCGTTCTGACAAGCATTCTCGCATTGGCCATAACCTCCTTGAACTCCCTCCGATCTACCCTCGTAATGCTCTGATCACGCGCGCACGCCACACATTCGTGAATATTCCAGCACTGCTCCTCGGGCAGGTGCGTGAACCCCCCGTCCTTCATGCACGAGTTGCGGAAAAAGGCGCTGATGTCATGGATGTTGCGCCAGGCGAGGTAGTGCACGCCGGAGCGCATGGCGATCTTCTTGTAGAGCGTGCTGAGGAACTTGTAGGGGAAGAGCTCCACCACCACTGAGCCGCGCGGCATGAAGAGTGCCGTGGTGAGCGGCGTGCCGTGCAGGGATATCAGCACCAGGGTGTTCTGAGAAAGGGATGGGAAAGGGGGGAGGGGAGGGGGAGAGAGGGGGGGGAATGGGGGAAAGGGAGAGTGGGGGTGGAGTTGGCGTACAGACAGGCTGCTCAAATCATGTGGTTGCAGATGGAGTGGCGAAGAGATGGGACGGAGGTCAAATGCAGCGTGGCGGTGTGCTGCTTCAGGTCACGCAAGAGCCTCAAGTGAAACACATGGGCACTGACCCAGGCCCCCACCTCCCGTGCCCACTCTCCTGCTCCTTTTCCCAGCACATTTCCCAACCTCTCCTTCTCCCTTCAATCCTGTGCCAGCGACCACAACCGCCCCTCAAAAGCACCGCCTCCAGCAGCAGCGCGTGGTCCAAGGCGGCCGCCTTGCAACGCTCCTCACCCCACACCCTTCCCATGCCCCTCTCCCTCTTACCCCCCACCCCACCTTGAGCAGCAGAGCGTGGTCAGAGGCAGAGGCCTTGCCGACCCGGGCGATGAGCAGCGGCATCTCGGGGAAGAGAGCATGTGCCACGCGCGCCACCTCCTGCCCGTTCATCACCGACCGCCCCCTCTCGCGCTCCAGCACCGTCACCTGCCACCTCATGCGCCGCGGCGCAGGGGGCACCTGGGCGGGGCAGGAGATGGGAGGCGGACAGGGGGGCATTGCTGAGGCGAGGGGCATGGAGAGGAGACCACCCTTGCTCCCGCTCCAGCAGTGTCAGCTGCCAGCGCATGCACCGAGGGGCTGATGGCAGCTGGATTGAGTCGCAGGGAGACACAGATGGCACGAGGAGAACTCGGCAGGAGCATGGGGTGGGGGGTCGTGCATACTAACCCTGCTTCCGCTCCAGCAGCATCACCTGCCAGCGCATGCGCTGCGGGGCGAGGGGCACCTGGTAAGAGCCAAGGGGAGACAGGGATGGGAGGAGAACATAGCGGGAGCATGGGATGGGTGGGTATGCAGACTAACCCGCTCGTGGCTCCAAGAGCATGCGCGCCATGCCTGTTGCCACCAGGCACCTGCGATTGAGTCACGCGGCGACACGGATGGGAGGAGACCACAACAGCAGTGTGGGACGATTGATGTGCAGTGCGGACTGCAACCTACCTCGCTCCAGCACCATCACCTGCCACCTCATGCGCCGCGGGGCAGAGGAGACCTGGGGAGGTCGAGGAGGAGCAGTCAGGAAGAGGAGGGGGGGAGAGAGGGTGGGGGAGGGCAGGCAGCGCCTGACACCCCGTGCACACGGGGGGTGTGCAAGGGGGGTGTGCAAGGGGGGTGTGCAAGGGGGGTGTGCAAGGGGGGTGTGCAAGGGGGTTGGGTGCACAAGGGGGTTGGGTGCACACGGGGGTTGGGTGCACACGGGGGTTGGGTGCACAAGGGGGGAGTGCAAGGGCAGCGACCGGAGGGAGTGTTAGAGCATGGGGCCATGGGGTGAGCAAACATGCCACACACAAACATGCCACACACAAACATGCCACACACAAACATGCTTTCTCTCCCACACCATACCGCACCTGCTGCTTTTCCGCACCTGCTGCTTTTCCGCACCTGCTGCTTTTCCTCACCTGCTGCTTTTCCTCACCTGCTGCTTTTCCTCACCTGCTGCTTTTCCTCACCTGCTGTTTCCCCCCCACCGTTGCATTGCACATGCACCACTGAGATATGACGAACCTGCTGCTCCCACACACTACCACCCCTCTCCCCCCACCTATCTCTCGCCACCCCTCTCCACTCGACCAACCTGGGATCCAGTTGTGGCTGGCTCGGGCGGCAGGCTGCGGCTGGTGCGCAGCACTTTCACGCGCACCACACCCGACTGCCTCCCCTTCTTGCCCTTGCCCTTGCTGCGCCCCCCCGCGCCCAGCAGCGCCCACTGCCTCAGCGTGTCCGCTGCCTGCGCCGTGTGCAGGCGGTTCAGCGGGAAGAGTGCGTTGCGGAAACACACCTGGCGCACTCAGAGGTGGGGCGCGCAGGGGCGAGCAGGGCATGGAGAAGGGGCGAGCAGGGCATGGAGAAGGGGGGAGCAGGGCATGGAGAAGGGGGGAGCAGGGCATGGAGAAGGGGGGAGCAGGGCATGGAGAAGGGGGGAGCAGGGCATGGAGAAGGGGGGAGCAGGGCATGGAGAAGGGGCGAGCAGGGCATGGAGAAGGGGGGAGCAGGGCATGGAGAAGGGGGAGGGGAAGGCACAGCAGTGCGGAGGGAAAGGGTGGGAGCGGGAGAGGAAGGAAGGGCAGTGGCGTGATTGGGTACAGGCGGGTTTGGTGGGCGCCGAGCGGAGGGGGGCTGCTGAGGGACCAGTCCAATCTATCATGGAATCATTGAGTTTCTAATTCTGATTCGGTTTGGGGGTAGGGAGGGGGGAAACGCTCTTGGAGAATGGGGTTGGAAAGAAGATAGGGGGGGGTGGGAACTGGAGGGCCGAGGCAGGAAAAGGACCAAGGGAATGGAATGGGGTTGCAGACAAGGGCAGTGGCGGGGGAGTGTGCGGAGGCGGTTCGTGGGGAGGAGGGCCGTGCGAAATCATATGTGTATGGAGGGGTGGTTTTTGTGCTTGTCAGCCCCTGTCCCTCACCTGTTCCCTCCCCTCACACACCTTGAACCCTCACTCTCACCCACCTTCTGCCCCACCCACCTTCTGCCCCTCACCTCCTGTCTCTCACCTGCTGCCGCTCACCTTGAGCCCGGGCGAGTGGCCGAGCAGCAGCAGAGCCTTGGGGCCAAAGAGGATGTGCGCCATGTCAGCCGTCCACGCGCTGCGCACCTCATGCTCCCCCGGGAAGAACACCACGCGCCCCTCCCCCCTCGTGTCCTTTGATGGGTCCGACGGGGGGGCGCGCACCAGGTGCACTGGGGGGGAAGGAGGGGAGCATGGGGGAGTGGGACGGTTGGTGGAGGAAAGGGGCGAGCAGGGTTGCAGGGGCAGGGGAAGGAATGGGGAAGGGGGGTTGCAGGGGCGGGGGTGGTGTGCAGTGTTGAGGGAGATAATCCATGCCAGTGCCCCAGCGATGCCGTGGCAAGCCTGTCACCCCAGGCACTGTCCCGGCAGGACGTGAGAGGTGCCACCGTAGCTGAGACAAGGAGACAAGGAGACAAGGAGGCGATTGACATGAGAGAGGGAGACAAGGAGGCGATTGACATGAGAGAGGGAGACAAGGAGGCGATTGACGTGAGAGAGGGAGACAAGGAGGCGATTGACATGAGAGAGGGAGACAAGGAGGCGATTGACATGAGAGAGGGAGACAAGGAGGCGATTGACATGAGAGAGGGAGACAAGGAGGCGATTGACATGAGAGAGGGAGACAAGGAGGCGATTGACATGAGAGAGGGAGACAAGGAGGCGATTGACGTGAGAGAGGGAGACAAGGAGGCGATTGACATGAGAGAGGGAGACAAGGAGGCGATTGACATGAGAGAGGGAGACAAGGAGGCGATTGACATGAGAGAGGGAGACAAGGAGGCGATTGACATGAGAGAGGGAGACAAGGAGGCGATTGACATGAGAGAGGGAGACAAGGAGGCGATTGACATGAGAGAGGGAGACAAGGAGGCGATTGACGTGAGAGAGGGAGACAAGGAGGCGATTGACATGAGAGAGGGAGACAAGGAGGCGATTGACATGAGAGAGGGAGACAAGGAGGCGATTGACATGAGAGAGGGAGACAAGGAGGCGATTGACATGAGAGAGGGAGACAAGGAGGCGATTGACATGAGAGAGGGAGACAAGGAGGCGATTGACATGAGAGAGGGAGACAAGGAGGCGATTGACATGAGAGAGGGAGACAAGGAGGCGATTGACATGAGAGAGGGAGACAAGGAGGCGATTGACATGAGAGAGGGAGACAAGGAGGCGATTGACATGAGAGAGGGAGACAAGGAGGCGATTGACATGAGAGAGGGAGACAAGGAGGCGATTGACATGAGAGAGGGAGACAAGGAGGCGATTGATATGAGAGAGGGAGACAAGGAGGCGATTGACATGAGAGAGGGAGACAAGGAGGCGATTGACATGAGAGAGGGAGACAAGGAGGCGATTGACATGAGAGAGGGAGACAAGGAGGCGATTGACATGAGAGAGGGAGACAAGGAGGCGATTGACATGAGAGAGGGAGACAAGGAGGCGATTGACGTGAGAGAGGGAGACAAGGAGGCGATTGACATGAGAGAGGGAGACAAGGAGGCGATTGACATGAGAGAGGGAGACAAGGAGGCGATTGACATGAGAGAGGGAGACAAGGAGGCGATTGACGTGAGAGAGGGAGACAAGGAGGCGATTGACATGAGAGAGGGAGACAAGGAGGCGATTGACATGAGAGAGGGAGACAAGGAGGCGATTGACGTGAGAGAGGGAGACAAGGAGGCGATTGACATGAGAGAGGGAGACAAGGAGGCGATTGACATGAGAGAGGGAGACAAGGAGGCGATTGATATGAGAGAGGGAGACAAGGAGGCGATTGACATGAGAGAGGGAGACAAGGAGGCGATTGACATGAGAGAGGGAGACAAGGAGGCGATTGACGTGAGAGAGGGAGACAAGGAGGCGATTGACATGAGAGAGGGAGACAAGGAGGCGATTGACATGAGAGAGGGAGACAAGGAGGCGATTGATATGAGAGAGGGAGACAAGGAGGCGAGAATGACATGAGAGAGGGAGACAAGGAGGCGATTGACATGAGAGAGGGAGACAAGGAGGCGATTGATATGAGAGAGGGAGACAAGGAGGCGATTGACATGAGAGAGGGAGACAAGGAGGCGATTGACATGAGAGAGGGAGACAAGGAGGCGATTGACATGAGAGAGGGAGACAAGGAGGCGAGAATGACATGAGAGAGGGAGACAAAGAGGTGGCGAAGCACTCACCGGCGGCCTGCATGAGCGGCACAACGGCCTCGCCAAAATCCCCCATGTACGTGTTATGCCGCGGCACATACCCCACCTTCTCCACGCGCCCCCCTTTCGGCCCCTTGGCCATCCGCGCCCGACTAGCTGCGTCACTGAGGTTGAGGTAGCGCGCCACCGCGTGCGCGCTCTCGAAGCGGCCGTACACGCGGTTCTCACGGCGCTTGATGTCCGTGATGTCGTGCAGCTCCTCGTCAAACTCGTCCGTGAACCCCGGTGCCTGGTTCTCAAACCCCGACAGGACCACGGGTGCTGCTGACTGCTGCTGCTGCTGCTGCTGCTGGGGTGGGGTGGGTGGTGACTGGGTGGCTGAAGGGGTGGCTTTTTTAGGGTGGGAAGGCACAGGGTTGTGGGTTTTGGTGGGTTTTTGCTCCGATTTGGATAGGAGGCGTCGCCTCTTGTCCATGTGAGCCCGTCTCTCCTCCCCCTCCTCCCCCTCCTCAGCTGAGTACCCAACCCGACCGCTGTCCCTCCAATCCCCCTCCTCCTCCTCCTCCTCCCTTCGCTCCACCCTCCCACCATACCTCTCCTTCCCCACCCCACTCCCCTTCCTCCCACCTCCCGCACCCCCTTTCCGCCCATCCACTTCCCCAGCTCCTCCCTCCTCCTCCACCCCTCTCAACCGCACCACATCTCTCCCAACAGTGCCCTCTCGTTCCAGGGCAGCGCGGGCCTCTCGGGGCGAGAGGGAGCGCCAGGCGTGGTCTTGATGGTCGGCGAGGGCGTCGGGGAAGAGCGAGCAGAGGTCGTTGGAGGTGCTGATGCGCTTGAAGTCGCGCACGCCCTCGTCCGAAAACCACATGCCCGCCATCGGCGCGTGCAGCCGCGATGGACCTGGGGGAGAGGAGAGGGCAAGGGAAGGGGGGAGCGGCGGGGGGGGAGGAGCGGACGGATGGGAGAGCAGAGGTGGTTGGAGGTGGTGATGGAGTGAAGTGGCGCACACCCTCGTCTGCATACCACATGCCCGCTGATGCTGTGTGCCGGCACGAAGGGCCTGGGAGGAGGAGGTGGGGTGGGGGATCGGGGGGGAGGGGGAGTGCAGTGCGGGTGTTGCTGATGGAGTGCAGCTCAAAGCACGCCCGCCCTCGTTCACCCACCACATGCCTTGCCTGCTGCTGCCACGCGCAGGCGTAACGAACCTGCGGGAGCGGTGGGGAGGAGGGGGTGGGGAGACAGGAGGTGGGTATGAGGCGATAACTCATAAGTGCAAGTAAAGGTGCTTTCTTGGCCGAGAACCACCGTGCGTGCTGCAGCAGTGGACCTGTGATGTGCACGAGTGACGACGCACCTGTCATGTGCACGTATCACTCACCTGCCATGTGCCACGTGGCACCCACCCACCTGTCATGTGCCACGTGGCACCACCCATCTGTCATGTGCCACGTGGTACCCACCCACCTGTCATGTGCACGTAGCAGGCGTCCTGGATGAGCAGCACACAGGCGAAGTCGTCGGGCTGCTGCAGCAGGAACACCCCCGGCATGAGCGAGAACGACCTCACGTCCCACTTGCCCCTCTGCCCTTCCATTCACGCCAGGGGCACATGCCAAGGGAGGGAGGGAGGCCAGACGCGAAAGGGCACAGGCAGGGGCGAAGAGGCACAGGCAGAGGCACAGGGGTGCAGGGAAGCGCGAGGCCAAGAATGTGAGGGCACGGCATGTGGAAATGGGAACTAGACATGTGGGAGCATGGCATGTGGATGGGAGCATGGCATGTGGATGGGAGCATGGCATGTGGATGGGAGCATGGCATGTGGATGGGAGCATGGCATGTGGATGGGAGCATGGCATGTGGATGGGAGCATGGCATGTGGATGGGAGCATGGCATGTGGATGGGAGCATGGCATGTGGATGGGCGCATGGCATGTGGCGGCATCAACACCCTCGGCAGGCATCTAGAGAGAGAGAGGCACATGGAGTAGGGCGAGGGCGGCCATAGGAGAGAGAAAAGGGGCGTAGAGCGGGAGGGAGGGGAGGCAGGGAGCGTACGAGGGAGAGCAGAAACGAGTTGTCGGTGGCGTTCCAGGGCACCTTGCTGGCCGCCAGCCCCGGCGCGATGTGAAACAGCCGCCCGTTCACCGTCTCCCTCGCCCTCACTGCCGCGCTCAGATGCGCACCCACGCCCCTCCCCATGCCCGCCCCCCCCTCCGCCTGCACCGGATTGCTGCTTGCCCCCCCACCTGCATGCGTGCTGGGAGGGGGGAGAGGAGGAAGGGTGGGTTTGAGAATGGGGAGGGGAGGGGGGGTGGTGGGGAGGGAAATGGGTGGGAGAGACATCATGGGACTGGTCATCGCGTGGTAGCATGCAATGCAATGGAATGCAATGCAATGCAATGCAATGCAATGCAATGGAATGCAATGCAATGCGGTGTCATGCAGCAGAGGTGGCACCCCAAGCAGTGCGTACGGCCTGCCAGCGCATGGCAGCGGCGTACCGTGGGCGGGCGGGGGGGTCGCTGGAGAGCGCGGCGTGGTGCGCCATGGCGCGCTCCTGCGGGGCGCTGCGCAGGCGGATGTCGGCGGAGGCGGCGGAGAGGGAGCGCGAGGAGAGCCCTGACTGGAAGAAGAGGTAGATGGTGGACAGGTTCAGAAGCAGCAGCAGCACCGCCACCACCGCCACGTTCGACACCACCGCGCCCCCGCCCGCCCTCTCCGCGCCCGCCGCTCCGCTTCCCCCCACCCCGTGGCCCGCGTGTGCGCCGTGTCCCGCGTGCGCGTGCGCGGGGCTGCCGTGGAAGTGGCTGCCGGCGGCGAGAGCGAACTCGCGGGAGAGCGCCGCGGGGGAGAAGGCGGCGACCGGGGAGGCGACGCCGCCGCCGGCGGAGGACGCGCGGAAGGCGGCGGCTTGTGGGCTCGCGTGCTTGCCACTGGCGAGCGGGGAGCCACGTGGATGGTCGAGATCGCTCAGGTGGTCGATCGCACGGCGCTCCGCGATTCTGATGGGCGGCACGTCGTCCGCTACGACCACGAGCGGCGTCGACCCCGCGTGCTTCAGACGGCCCGCGATCGGCCGCTGCATGGCGCGGGGCGCACGCCACGCGGAGTGGACAGGCGGAGCGGAAGCAGACTACGTTGGTTGCCGCCGCATTCACAAAGTTTCGCGCGGTACGACGACGGGCGCGGGCAGAGGCGGGTGCCGCAATGATGGAGAGCACGAGAAGGTTAATGTGAGAGACGATGCGACCCAGATAACGATTCAGCTGGACGGGCGGAGAAGGAAGGTGTTGGGGAGGGAGGGGCACGAAGCGGCAGATACGCTGAAAGGACGGCGCATTGCGCTGGAGAGTGTGCGAGTTGGCGGATAAAGCGCAGGCAATTCTGGCGAGGAAACGTGGAAGGAGAAGCGATACTCGCGGCTGGCTGTGAGGATGGCGGTTTGGTGGTTAACCTCGTCATTGCCAGCCCCGATTTTGGGTTTCTTACCAGTATCGACCTGTCCAGTCTGACTTCTATAAATTATATTAGTCAGGGCAAAACACCATCCACCACACTTGGGATGAATTCGAGGGCCTAAGCAAAATGTACCTGGACATAAGGCCAATCAATAAGTATAACCAGACATAATCAGATCAAGTACAATGTAGAGTGATCAAGATCCTAACAAGTGAGTTCCTGCTAGGACGGGGCTAAACTGTGTGCGAAATCACTGGTGATCATGAGGTGGGTGCGCCTTAATGAAGATGTCAACTATGTTAGCCCCTGAAGCAAAGTGTATTACGCATGCCTGGCCGTGCAGCTACAGCTCACGTAAAAAAAATTACCTTAGCTGTATGTGCTTCGCTCCGCCTCTAGTCTATGCTTCTGACACATGAGGATTGTTGGAAACAATAAGTCCTAAGTGCGCTTCTGTCGTATCAAAATCCAAGGCACCAAGCGAAGCAGTCCCAATCGAAGCATCGAGTCAACCTCGGAGGTTAGGGTAACCGCCTGGAGGTTACGAGAAAGTCAAAGGTCGCTGACATTTGACTCGACAATTACAGCGCGACAGTTAAGGACACACAACTGACTCGTTACAGAGCAGTTGCCCGAGTCGCACTATATCGAACCGCAACAGCAATACAGTTATCTATCTATCTATTCGTATTCCCTGTACTCTTATATAAATCCTTGTATTTGCTTGTTTAATTCAATCTACTTTGCTCTCACACACCAGTGCAAGGTCGGTTCACAATCCTCATTAAACGCTTCCGCTATTACAAGTTTCTACCCAAGAGTTCTCCTCTGCAAAGATCCTAAGGGCTATTTTTCAGCCCAACATGGTATGAGAGCGGACAGGGGAAAACTCTAACTCTTTTCAAAATCATTTCAAGACATGGCAACAAACAAGGAAATGAGCTCTCCTAATGGCTCCTCGGGCACTATTCCTACTCCACCACCAGCCTCTGGCCTGCAGACAGAGGAAGGCACGGCAGCAAGACCAAGGGGAACTTCAACCGAGACTCCTACGAACCACCCTTCTGACTTCGACCAGAACATGATGGAGAAATTCTTCTCCTTCATGTCCTTCTACGAGCAACACCAGCAGTCGGGATCTGCACAGACACACAACAGCAACAACGGAGCGGCACCCATGAGCCTTGACGGGTCGTCATACGCGCGAGGGAATCAACAGCAGCAACCCACCTTCGCCCCGTACGAACGCGGGTCAATCAGCTTCCTGCCTCAACCTCCACCTGCGCAAGACAAACCAATGGATGCCTTACAAGTACAGTCGCAGTTCGCGCATGTTCTGAAACTACAGACGTCAAGACCTTTCGACGGAAAGGACTTCTTTACCTGGTCCTTTGAATTCGAGTTGATGATGGAGGGCGCGCAGATACTCGGCTTCTTCGACGGATCCCTGCAGTATCCAGCAAACGGGACACAGTATGAAAAGCAGCAGTATACGTATCAATCCATGATGGCGTATACTATTCTACTGAGAAACATCACACCAACCCAGCAGCAGAACATTCGCTCTTACCGGAACTTCGGCAACTCGGCGGAACTCGCGTACGGCCATCTGAAGAACCTGTACCAGGCAACAGACAGTGTAAACCAGAGCAGGTTAATGGCGCAGCTGACAACAGTTGAAATGAAACCAGGAGAAAAAGGGTTGGCGTATATCAGCCGATGTCGCGAATTGCGCGACAAGCTTCTTCGATGTGGAGGGTCAATCTCTGAAGACGCTGTCAAAAGTTAGAAGAAAGAAAGAGGATTGAACTAGCAAGAATGAGGATACAAATAGCAAACCCTAGAAGGGTTGTACTCGCTATAGAGCACCCCACTACAAGCTAGAACAATAAGATAATATTCTGACACACCCCCATAGCCAAAGTGGGGTGTAATCAGCAGAGCAGGCAAAGCAAAACAAGCTCAGGGTGGATCACAATGTCACCACACATTCTGAGCACAAGTTCAAGAAGAAATAGTTTAGAGTTCACAATTATAAGCAAAGCTAGTGGTAGTCACAACGGGCAAGTGAGGAGGAGGAGGGAGAGTGAGGGGAGAGGAGTCAGGAGGCGACGGCTGAAGCTGCAGACACACGGGCAACAGGAGGCAGACTGGCACAGCGGCTACCGGACAGCGCCTGGACTACAGGAGTAACAGGCCCCGCGGCTCAAATAGCGGCGGACGGGCAACGGACCCACGGGCGGCTGGCACAGCTGGCTACGACTGGGCTACCGGGACAGCGCCCCGGACTACAGGTGCTGCTGACGACAAACTGGCAACCTCCGCTCATCCTCCCGCACACAGTCCCACCCCCCTGATACACACCCACTGCTACACCACTAGCTCTACTCCCACGCACCCCCCTAAACCCTAAACCCAGTCTCCCACACAACCACCCCCCTCAGCGACAGCTGCAGCAGTGGGAGACGAAGGAGGAGGAGGAGCAAAGGGAGGAAAGTACACTGGCCACCCCCATACCTGCCACCCCACAGCGCGCCCCTCCCGTAGACCTCAGGTCGCCTCGACGGACGACGGGAATTGGGGGGGAGGGGAGAAAAAGGGGGGGGGGGGGGGGGGGGGGGGGGGGGGACGGGGCCGGGGCCGCGACGAGGGGCGGGGGCCGCGACGGTCGGGGCGGGGCTGCGACATAGGGCGGGGCCGCGACGTAGGGCGGGGCCGCGACATAGGGCGGGGCCGCAACGTTGAGCGGGGCCGCGAAGGTAGGGCGGGGCCGAGCCGGGCAGGCGCACGGGCGGCGACGGGCCGGGGCGGGGCCGCGACGAAGGGCGGGGCCGAGCCGGGCAGGCGCACGGGCGGCGACGGGCCGGGGCGGGGCCGCGACGTAGAGCGGGGCCGCGTCAAGGGGCGGGGCCGCGACGTAGAGCGGGGCCGCGTCAAGGGGCGGGGCCGCGACGATCGGGGCGGGGCCGCGATGATCGGGGCGGGGCCGCGACGTAGTGGAGAAGCCCGCCGCGCGCCTCGGGGCGCACAGCGGGCAATAAACCGCCGCGCGCCTCGGGGCGCACGGCGGGCAGAAAACCGCCGCGCGCCTCGGGGCGCACGGCGGTAGGAAAAAGTAGCAGCGGAAGCGAGGTGGTAACCCACCCACAGGATCGATCCAAGGGGATCGACCTGCTCTGATAGCATGTCAAAAGTTAGAAGAAAGAAAGAGGATTGAACTAGCAAGAATGAGGATACAAATAGCAAACCCTAGAAGGGTTGTACTCGCTATAGAGCACCCCACTACAGGCTAGAACAATAAGATAATATTCTGACAGACGCCTTCGTAACAGTTTCATTGGTGGCCTCGGTCCTCAGTGGCGCGCCACCAAAGCAATTCTTCGAGCACACGGAAGGATCTCCGAAGCGGCACTTTGCGCAGAAATTCACGCCGAGCAGCAGGATATGGACCTGCAAGAAGAAAGACACAAGAAAAGGACATTAGCACCGGAGTTTGCTTTCCATACTCAGCGACGACACAACAACTACAACAATCGACAGCAGCAGCCGAAGCTAGTACCTCCATTTTGTCACATCTGCAAGACATCAGGACACCCACGCACGCACTGCCCGTCTCGACAGACAACACCACAGCGACAACTGCGGCCTTCAAGCACCCAAGTTGCTTCGACACAAGCAAGCTCGACAACCACGATTCAAGCTTCAACGACCTCAACTGGACAACCTGCACAAGGAGCAAGACATATAGTCAACTGCATGGTCAAGATAAACGACTCTTGCATAACAGAGTCACCACCCCATTACTCACCGGAAGAGGAGCTCGACAACAGGACGCCTCGTCGCGAATCACTCCATCCAAATCCGGCTTACGCCGCTATCGCTCAAAGTGAACCGTCCGGCCAAGACACCTGGTTCTTGGACAGTTGCTGCGGGCAACACATGTGCTCGTCCGGGCGTTTCGTACAACGCGAACATCGACTCCAACGGGAAGTGATCATCACGGTTGCCAACAACCAAAACCTGCGCACACGAAGACAAGGAGTGGTACAGCTTCAGTCAAGAGAAACAAATGTCATACTGCACATGTCTGAAGTACTCATCGCTGAAGGACTCGGCTACAACTTACTGAGCGTTAGCCAGTTGATGGCGAAAGGAATTCATCTGGAAGCCGACAGCACGACCCAGGAGTTCAAGCTTTACCACGGGAGAGGCGGTCTCTACATCGGGAAAGCAGTGCTGAAGAACAACGTCTTCGTCCTCGACTTCGCTCCCGACCTCGGCACTGCAGACAGCGACGCCATTGTGAACTTTGCTGATTGGACACACCCTCCGGATCTCGACCCCGACTTCAGCCCGGGAGGCTTCTGGTACTCCCACACTATCCCTGAAGCAGAACGAACAAGAGCGTTAGCAACGATTCAACAAGAAGCAGCGACAACATCGGCAGCAGCGACAACATCGGCAGCAGCGACAACATCGGCAGCAGCGACAACATCGGCAGCAGCGACAACATCGGCAGCAGCGACAACATCGGCAGCAGCAACAACATCGGCAGCAGCAACAACATCGGCAGCAGCAACAACATCAGCAGCAGCAGGAACAACGACACCAGTCACAGTCGACGAA